AAATGTCAGATTGAATTTCCTTTCATTTGTAACTGTGCTTTTTCTCCCCAAATTATAGCATCTTCCTGACCCAAATCATCCACCCATCTAAAATTGGTGTGAAATATATCATATATAATGTAAACATAAGTCAATGGCTATTTGGGGCATGTAATTACTTATACTAGGAGAATATATATTTTAATGCTCTGAATCATCTATATAATGATTGAATAATTTCATTTATTAATAATAGCATTGTAGATTGTTGTATTTTTTAAGATTCATAGCAAAGATTTTGAGTTATTTTAGGTAAAACATTCTAGCATAATATCAACATTATTTACAAAGTGATGAATCTTTCAATACCTGAATATTATGGAATTATATTTTATTAATTTCACAACTTTCTATTTCTCTTTTTAAATAAATATTTAGTCATTCAAATAAACTATAAGATGTTCAATATTTAAACTGAATATGTACAAGAATTATTTAATAATGATCAGCCATGTAAAACTTCAACCCATAACAATGCCACTGGAAATTATAACTAACAAAAAAATAAATACATTTTTAATCCCTGTATATACATTTTGGGAAAAGGTGAGACTTTCTACTCCCACAGTCTCAGGAACCCACAGGGCAGTTCCAGCACTGTCCAACACGGTCATTATGACTTGGAATCTATTCAATGGTATTAAGTTTCATTTGTTATAAGTTTTGTCCTGTGTATTTCAATCCTACCTATCCATTGCACAATTAATCTTTAAAAAATTCTGAAAAGTTTATTTGTGTTTTGTGTTTTTATGAAAGAATGATAGGTGAAAAGATCAGATTAAATAACTATCACAATTGAGTGAAGCCCTTTTTCATATTAAATCTTTTAATTTAAAGAAAAATGTCCTATAAGTTTTCCAAAAGATATATGAAAATAATTTTCTAGAAAGCTGGAACCAAATATTCCCCAAGTAAATAGCAATTCCTATATTGAAAATAATACTATCAAAATGTTTTATTTCAAATCTTTTTAAAGAGAAGAGGGACAATAGAATATATATATTAAACAGTGCACTGAAACTGTATAATAAAATTAATGCA